ATGTTTAATGTGCGACAAATCACTGGTCATATGATTGAAGCAAGCTGAATCAATAATCCAAGGCTGTGCTTGTTTACCTGTCACCTGAAGAGTGGCGAAAGCTGAACTAATGGCCGTAGGAAGGGACTTCTACAAAGCCGAGTTGACCATTTGCTCAATCAAAGAGGCTGAAACCCCGGTACCACCCCCATCGACAAAGTGAGCAGCATACGCAGGTCGAGCAGCATATGTAGGACGTTCCGCAGTGACACGATCAGGTGCACGATCAGTAGCTTCTGCTGGCTTCCCATGGTGTTTAACAAATAGCCTGCAATCCAAGATGACGTGTCCACCCTTCTTACAGTACACACAATAATTTTGACGGCGACAATACTTTTGGAGGTGTCCTTTCTCCCTACAATGATGACATTGAAGCTCCGACATGGGTACTCTCCTCTGAAATTGTGGTCGGCCTACCGCAAATGCATCTTCTGAACCAGCCGCTGCAGCTAGTGCCGATTCCCCATCACCAGGTCTGAGATCCATTTTTGCCTGGGTACGGAGGCGGGTTTCTTCCCGCACCAAGTCACTCAGCACACCATCCATCGACAAAGTTCCCCTATGAATGATACTTGAGCGGATGGGCTCAAAATCCGGACGCAATCGCATAAGGAAGTGCATCATGCGAGCATGCTGCCTATCCTCGATCACGATTGCGGACGTTGCTGCTGGGCGAAGATGCGTCGTGAGCAGGTCTTGCTCGGTCCACAACTCTTGTGCTTCAGTCAGGTATGAGGTTATGTCACGATCCCCTTGTTCCAGCTTATCCAGGGCGCATTGCAACTCAAATTGGCGAGCTGCACTTGCCGTGGAGTAGGTTGCCGCCAACTTTCTCCACATGTCATGAGCTGTGCATTGCAAACGAAGCCCCAAACATATATTAGGTTCAACTGAATTCAAAATCCACGATCTTACCCTCGCATCATGCTGATTCCAGCGAGCGATCTGCTCATCCGTAGCCGGGGGTGTTGGCTTCTTAACAGTTCCATCAAGAACTCCGAGGAGTCCTTTCCCTTCCACAAATACCCGAAACTGAAACTCCCACAACATATAATTCTTCGGATTGAGGCGAATCGACAGCCTCTCTGAATCTGATGCCGAGTGCTCTGATACCATGTTAGCTTACGCAAAAGAATCCAAACTCGCAGTAACGAACACACAGAGTTAACGTGGTATCCCTGGGTATTCCAGGACTAATCCACGAGAGAGAAAGACTCTCCAAGGTGAAAATAGTATTAGGTTTCGTAAGTCTTCCCACAGCCATACACGCAGCTTAAATACCTACCCGATAACCCTAGCACATGCACGTACAGCAAGTGCATTAGTGCATGGGCTTACACTAATTATGGGCCACTAATTAATCACTTAGTTCAACATACAATGGCCCATGAAAAACCGAATTACATACGTCTAACATCCCCTAGAATCGGGAACGTAATCGCGTACGCCTCATCATTTTATCGACAGACACCCAGCTGCAAAACCCTCTCTCCAGACTAAAGGGGTTTCCCATTTCCAATGCTCCCCAGCCCACTCAAGATTTCGTCAGCGGAATCCTAAACCTTCAAAACCCATCTAGCCCAGATCCCAAAGATCGAGCACTTTGTTTGTCACGTTAATGACTGTCGTGGCCACCTCGGTCCTCCACTTTGAATCCCGCCGGCTGAATCCCATGTATCCCTTCTGCTTCCATCGTTGCTTCCCTACCCCTCTGTTTTATCTCTTCGGATGATATCCTTGTGCCTTTTCTGCTTGCAACGTACACTCATGCTCAGTCTGCAGTTTCCCCTCATCTCTCTCTCCATGGTGCAAATATAGAACGTAATGGTAGATGAAATATACTGTGCATATTTATGGGCGATTCTAATCAATAATTTTTCTCCTTTTTAACTTCATTGTGCCTGTTGTTTACACTTAAAAATTATCTTGTACACATTGATAAGCTACAGGATAATTAAGAATTTTATAAGGCCACATCAATTAAAATAATTAAGGTTATTTAAGTTGGGCATTATGGATATTAAAGCCCAAGCAACTAAGTCATAGTGAGCATGAACATGATTCAGTGAGAGATATGTGTCTCTCGTAAGCGACCATGCCATTCCACGAGATTGTTGACTCGTCGCGAATACCAGAATAGAAATCCCAATTAAGGCCCAAGTATAAACCTCAATTGGGTGCAGTATAGGGAAAAGTATCTTTAAATGTCGATCCGGGCTAGTTCATGTATCCCTACTTCGATTGTTTGTAACATTACCTAGCGATTGATTTTTGGTGAAAACAACGATCTATAGCTAAAATGTTTGCAAAGGTAAATGGATTTGACACTAATTGAGAAGGCTTCACGAAGGTGTTGCTCCCTCTAGCTTGCAATTATGACTTGTTGGACCTAATGGTTGTGTGTGGTAAGGTGCTTATAAACCGTAGGGATGTGCAACAAGTAGCCAAGCGCCACTCTCTCGGCCTCTAGGCCGGGGAAGGGAATTCAATTCCAGCCACCAACGTGACTCTCTCGACCTATTGACTAAGGGTTACCAAGACTTCACCCTCGAATCGGAGGCCACCCACAACCAACCCTAGGTGCTAATATAAAATAAGAGGTTTTCCCTGCATTAACCTAGAAAGGAGACAATGAATCACCAAAGAAAACCCAGCATTCAAGCCTCTTTCAAGAAAGGAAGGGGGTTTTCTCTCTACCTAGGTTCGAATGGCAATTAGATTGATAAGCTTTCACACAACACAATCATTCATGAAAATACCTCCACATTCACATTAAACACAACCACACACAAATCATTCAATCCATACAAACATTCACATAATTGTAACTAGGGTTTACAAGCACCCAAGTGAAAGAAGGAACTACTCCATGCTAGGAGAAGAGAAAACACAAGAGAGAAGAAGGAAAACCATTAATGAGATACTAGCCTGGCTCCTTATGTTGAACAGATCCTCCTTTGGGGGAGGAATTCCCGAATCCTTGCTTGAAGATGAAACCCTAGCTTCTCCTCTTCCTTGGTTCTTCACTTTCTCACTCTATAAATCTAAAGAAGAAGAAGTTTCTCACACTAGGTCTCCCCCTTTCCCCTTCAGCTCAACCTCTTTTATATACCTAAATCGGGCTCAGATCACGGTCCCAGTTCACGGTCGTGAATTGAAATCCCAGACCGTGATCTCAAGTTGAAACGCAATACATCACTAAGTTCTGTTCACAGGCATTAGCCTGCGTTCACGATCTTACGACCGTGAACTGACTTGTGTCCAGTGAAAGCGATTTGTGCTCTGTATGCCTAGTTGTTCATGGGTAGCGTCTCCAGTTGACGGAAAATGACCTGCTGCTGCTTCCACCCTTTGACTTGATTTTTCGCCCTTTCGTCCAACTTTCGACTCCGGGGTTGGTTCCACCTGCCAAAGTCTGAAGAACACTAAAACAAGGCAAAACCAGACATAAAACCAAACCTCGCGGAGTAAAAATGCTTCAAACGACTAAGCAAATCGAGGGTAAAAAGTGTACAAATGAGCCTGAATCACTCCCCCCACACTAAGACGTTTGCTTGTCCCCAAGCAAACCATTTTCAACGTAGGTGATATCTCAACCTAACAAGATAACTTGGGGACAAATCAAAAGGCACAAAGCTGTGAATCTCAATGACTATTGGGCATCAACACATGAACCACCTCAAACAATAACGACATCCACCATAAACGACATTCGATTGCATAAAAAATGGGCAAATGAAAAGTTCTCACCCTGTTCATAAATCAATGCAAGTCTCGACCAAACTACTCACCAACCAAAACTAAACATGCATAGAACTCAAGGCCAAGGAACATACAACGGGGCAACATAGATCCTCACTGGGGTAAGATATGAACATGCAAAACAAGAATGAATCACTCACTCTCGACCAGTGGGGTCAGGACCTTTTTGGTGCAAAAGATGTGCACGATCGTCAACACTCAACCTATCGTCTCTCCACCACGGCGGCAACCTCTAAATGCTAGAGTTCACAAGATGGGTTGTCATCACTAGCTTGTCCGGAGGTCTTAGAAACAGGTTCAAATGACTGGCAATTGTCTTGTACATGGGGAAAATGCTTTTTGGGTGGGGAAAACATGCATGAGGTCCTATATCTTCAACCTAAAACCCAAGTTTCTATGGTATTGACTAAGGATCTTTCCTACAAACAAAAGCCACTAGCATCGGCCAAAAACCACACTTCCCTTCTTCCAAACCACTACCAATCACGAACTACATTCAAGCACACTTTTTCGGCCTATCTTGCTATTCACATTTCAAACCTAGTAGTGAAGGAGGTCATCAAACAATTTAGGTGTTTCAATGGCTTGGGTGCCAAGAAACCCTTTCTAGAGCATACACTTAGACTTTTGTGGACATTCTCTTAATTTATTAAACCCATTTATTACCTCTTTTACGTTTCTTTCCTTTCTTCTTTTTTCCTTTTTCTTTCCTTTTCTCTTTTTTTTTCCGAGGGGGGTACTAGAGAGTGCAATGCATGCCACCTATCCTTAAACGAACAATGCTCTCCATTAAGAACTTTCCTCCAACACTACCTTCTTATTTCTAGCAAGAACCATGCAAAATCACCTATGTAGAACCTCAATGGAGCTCAAAAGCGAGAATTTCAAGACACAAGGATGACTCACACTTTGAGATGAAGAAAGTATGGGTGGGGTCGTTGTTTCAATCACCATTAAGCTCATAAAGCACGAAGCTCCTAGCATTATAACGACCCCCAAAGACACACGGCTCAAAAGGGTTGACTAGGGGATAAAATGTTTCGGGACAGTCAACGTTCGGGTGTGGACTAATCCTATGCCTCCATCATACTCACTAGTGACAATGGTGAATATTACACACCATGGCGAGGGGGATCTATCACACATTAAAAAGACGATCGACATAAAACACACATGGCTACCTAGCCAATTAGTAACCAAGTCAAGACATCCATTCATTTAAGCACACATGTGAACTAAGCTTTTGCACAACCCTAATGCATTTTCAGTCATCATAATAGGATGCACTCGATTTCATGCAACAATTCAAGATCGATGCCAAATAAGCACGAGATTCACCCACCAACCGACCATTTTGATCGTGCATTGCTTGGAGCCCTCAAAATTTTCAAGTTTGGGCATCCATCAAGGCTCCAAGCATTCAATCACACACACAAGCATAATAATAAACTACCCCTCACACTTAAGCTCGACATTGCCCTCAATGGCGTAAAATAAGGGGTAGAACGATGTTACCGCATGGCTTGGTGAATGAAAGTTGGATAATTATTTGGGGTAAGATGTTTGTGCTTCAAAGGAAAAACAAAACAAAACACAAACACGCGTACATTCTCGCTCTAGGCGAGGTTATTACACATAACAAAGTTTCACAATATGATTCAAAATAAAGAACTCACAAAGTACTAGTTCACACACTAATTAAGGATATAAAAATAAAAAGAGTTTAGAGTTTGAAAGTGGAGAAGTGGGGCGAAAGAAATCGGCTCTGCCACATGTCTCCTACGACGGCTACCTCGTCTTGGGCAAGATCACTCCTCGACGTCCGAAAGGACGCCCTAACGTCGAGTCATCCTTTCTATGAGATCGGTGGTTTGGTCAAGCCGAGTAGTGACTCCCACATAATGTGCCTCGAGGAGATCCACTCGTTCCTCGAGGTGGGGTACAAAGGTAGAGTGTCCGACCCCGGATGATGATGATGCAACTGATGATGGTGGTGGTGTGGTACACCGGCGGGGGCCGGGAGCTCTGGTGGGTGGCTGCTCTAGGGGAGGAACTCTTGGTGGGAGGGAGAGTCCCTCAATAAAGCGAAATGGTCCGAAGACTCGAAGCAACTTCATGGCTCTTAAGGTGTCCTTCCAAATCCCGTGGAGCGCCCTTCCTTTTTGCAACACTCGAGGTTGACATTGAAGTGTCGAGCCAAGTGGGTGATGAAGGGGCCCATTGATGTGATGTAGCATCGACTGCCACTAATGGCCCTACTGAATGAGGTTGCCAGAACCGAGCCAAGGTGAAGTTGATTGGATGGGTCCCCCATGGAGGTGAATGCTAGCAATGCTCTCACTTTGATCTTTCGCGCACATGTAGCTTAGGTTAAGAAAATGAGCAAGGAGTGTGTTGATGACATGCCATTGCGGCTTGAGCGTAGATGCCGAAGTGCAGGATGGAACAAATTGGGTTTGGCACATTTCCGGGAGGCAAAAATTCTTGAAAGCGGATTGTGCGTCGAAATATTTGAGGGCATCCGCCTCCCACTCTGCTTCTGACCTCTCGGGGAATCCAATTGCATCAGTAAACTAGTTAAAAGACAGTCTTCGAGGCACACCTCCCAAGCAAAAACAAACGGAGCAAGTCGGTTACCCCAGCAGGTTCGTTTCCCTCAGGATGCAGAATGTGCTAAAGAACTCTACACACAGCTCCGTGTAGATGTCGTCTTCCAACTGGAGAAGCTGGCGCCATTGTGAGTGCACTACAAACTCTCTCATGATATCTCCATAGTGAAGGCCTTGAAATTGAGTGAAGTCGAGTTTCCAGTGGGGTCCAATCCAAGACTGTTCCCAAGAACCTCACTTCCTTTTCAAATATTGGCCACCTTCTTAGCTCTATCAAGTACGGGTGGCTCATGTCAACCAATGCAGTTAAAATCGCGCTTTAAAACTTAAAAACTTACGGTTTTACGCTTCTAGGTCAACAAAACGCTTTCGTTTCCACATAAAAACTTTAGTGTACAAAATCGGACTAAATTACGTTTTAAAGCTTAAAAACTTACGCTTTTACGTTTCTAGTTCACTAATACGCTTTACGCTTTTATGCTTTTAATTCACTAAATGGGTATTCTTTTCATGATATTAATTATAAAAAGTATACTTTAATGGTAAATTACCAACAATATGATACATTTGAGATTGAAAGATACATACCAGGTACTTGGATGCATTCTCAGCTTCAATAGAGTAATCAATTTCACCAACTAGGCTCTTCCCAAATTCATTAGTATAAAGGGGAAGGTGGATTATTCTTAAGATTTATGTTTATGAACTTATTATTAAGAGGCTATAAGTTGCTCTGCTTTAGGCATGAATTGCAGGTACTTATTACTAAATTCCGTGCACTCATATTTTACATTGTATATGTCGTACTTAACATATTTTTAGTTATTTTAGGGCATGCGTCAAAAACTTACGCTTTTACGCTTTAATTCTACGCTTTACGATTTTATCCCTTTTCCGTTTATAGGTAGAATCGCGCTTTTGACTGCATTGATGTCAACCATCCTACAACAACATCCAAGACATAAACCATACGTGGAAATAATTTTCAATTTCACATCAAGTGGAGAAAAGAATTCCCCCACACTTAAGTTTCCACTACAGTCCTATGCTTTGAAGGCTTTTCACTAGACCGGCTTTGGACAATTAATCTCAAATGCACACAAAACTCATCGAGGCATTATTCTAGGTGGTTCATGGGTTATCAACACAAAATAAAACCCAAACCATGCCTTGATGGTTTCCAACCATAAATCAAAAACTACGGATTCACATTCATTCAAATTTTTGCACTTGGTGGGCAATTTTCACATTCAACCACAAATTGTACCCAAATTCATGCCCACCAAGGTTTGATTACGCTCATGCATCATCAAACATCATTCATTCACATTAATCGGCTAATCCCTCGCCCTATTTTCTACATTCAAGCATCAATTCACACAAACACCTCACTTCACACCCTAATCCAATTCTCCAAAAATCGACAAGAAAAAAGTTGATAAAAGCCTAGATAGTGAATTAGTTTCGAGGGAGCCAAAAAATGCCCGAAAACTGGTCGAAGAGGGGTCACCGAAGCCTTGGCGGAGAAAAAAAACTGAGCCCAAATCTCCCCAAAACTCTGGCAAAGGTGCGCCTAGGTGAGAGAAGAGTGGGTCTGTAATGTTTTTTTGGGTTTTGGTGGTCGTAGGTCGCCGAAATCGACAAAAATCGATGGAAAATCGTGACTTTCCGGTGAGATTTGAAAAAAATCCGGCGAAGGGGCGGCCGTGAAGTGAACTAAGCCGTTCACGCCCTTTTTATTGCAGAACCCTCAGTTCACGGACGGAGGAGTCAGTAACGACTGTGAACATAACTCCTAACTCGTGAACTGGGGTTAAAAAATGAGTTTTGAAAACAGGGGGAGCATCCTCAGTTCACGGATGGAGGCACCAGTTCATGGTCACTAAGACCGTGAACTAAAAGCACATATTGTGAACTGAGTGAAAACAGGGCACTCCCAAAAGTCGTTGACTCGATCTACTCAACTGTGTCCCTAATTCGATTACACCATATCCCAAAACACAAAACCACAGAGACTTGGCACAGTGATACCCAAATCTAACACTTGAACTCTTCACACACACAAATAGAGAAAAATAAGGAAAAGCAAACAAATTGTCATTGGGTTGCCTCCCAACAAGCGCTAGTTTAACGTCACTAGCTCGACGTTGCGGATCTTGTGGGCATGAAGCCACCGATAGTGGACCCGCCACGTTCTCGGGACGAGGTTTGTCACCTCATACATCTAGCTCCATAGGGTGGCCCTCTTGGCCCGACCTGTTTGCCTTACCCTTATCTTTTGGTTAGGAGGAGGCTTGGTTAAGCCTATCCCTCCACGCTCTCTTCTTCTTTCCTCCGGGCTTGGTACCCGCCTTGGTTTCCTGCACCTCATCATCAAATGGAACACACACACTAGTGGGGTTTGCCTTGAGAGGCTCACCTCCACTTCCATTCATACCATTCGAGTCCATTTCTTTCACAACATCATTTTTACCCTTAGGTTCAATTGAAAGAGTGAGTTTCTCCTCTCCATCTCTCAAAACAAGAGTTCCCTCATTAACATGGATTAAGACCTTGGCGGTGGCAAGGAAGGGACGCCCTAGTATGAGTGACATATATGCATCTTCACTGATATAATGGATAACAAAATCCGTCGGATAATAGAAATTGCCAACTTTCACTAGGACGTCCTCCACAATACCCATAGGACTAATGACAGAGCGATCAACCATTGTGACACTAAGCCTAGTGGGTTTCAATTCACCCAAATGCAACTTCCTAAAAAGCTTGTATGACATCACATTAATGTTTGCTCCTAAGTCCGCCAAGGAGTTTTCTATATGATGATTTCCAATGCAAAGGGGATAGTGAAACTACCTGGATCCAGTTGCTTTTTAGGAAACTTGTTGAGGATAAAGGCGGAGGACTCCTCGCCAATGTAGTCAAAATCGCGCTTTAAAACTTAAAAACTTACGATTTTACGCTTCTAGGTCACCAAAATGATTCTACGCATATCTCAATTTTTATAACTAATGTAGTTAAAAACTACGCTTTAAAGCTCAAAAGCATATGATTTTACGCTTTTAGAACACCAAACGCTTCTACGTAGAAACTCACTTTTGACTACATTGCTACTTGCCAAAGGTGACATTGGCAAGGTCTTCATATTTTGGCTTCTTGGCGAGAATCCTTTGAGGTTTTTGGCGTACCTCGGCATGTGCACCATGGCCTCCAAGAATGGAATGGTGATGCAGAGCTTCTTGAGCATCTTCATGAATCCTCCACACTCTGCCTCCAATCGGTCCTTCTGCATCCTTGTGGGGAAAAGCAAGAGGAGGCTTGTACTCATCCACTTGTTGTGGCGTCGCCAATGCCTTCTTAGGCTCTTCTTCCGTTCCCCCCACTTCTTCGTGATCGTTGACCTTTGGAGGGGTCTTCTCTTCTTTATTCACTTTCTTAGGAACAACCTCTAGGGTAACCTTCCCACTCCTCAAAAGAATAACATTGTCACCGACATTTTGGTCTTAGGGGTTGATAATGGTTTGAGAGGGTAGGGCTCCCCTTGGCCTCTCAGTGAGGATCCCGACAAGATTGCCAATTTGCACCTCCAAATTTTGAAGGCTTGCTTGATGGCTCCTCAATCCCGCCTCAACCAAAGTAAACTTTGTTGTTTCCACATCTATAAATTGCTCAATCTTCTTGAACTTTTGAGTGCTCGTGCTCACAAAGGTGGTCACAAGGTCTTCAAGTTTTACAAACTTGTCGGTTTGTTGGAATCCTTGGCCTCCTTGAGCTTGAAACGGTTGTTGGAAGTTAGAGCCTTGGAATTGCGGCCTTCGTTGAATGAAAGTAGGCCTTGGTTGATAGTTTCTCGTTGGTTCTTGGAAACTGGGGGTCTTAGGTTGGTCGGAGAAGACCAGGAGAAATTCGGATGACTTCGCCACCCCGGGTTGAAAGTGTTGCTATAGGGGTTGTTCCCCCTAACATTGGTAATGAAACTCACTTGCTCCTCGGGGGTGTTTGATTCTTTCATCATTTGACAATCCGAAATCTCATGGTTGTTACTTGAACACCATTCACACGCCATCACCGACCTCTTCCCATGCGTCTTTCCCTTTAGGAGTGCCTCAATCAAACGATCAATCTTCGCTTCAAGCGGGGGACTCGCACCTACACTTTGCACTCCCCTTGCGGTGCTTCTCTTTCCAATTCTTGTCAAGCCCCAATCATACCCTTTACTTGCCATGTCTTCAAGCAACTAGGTCACTTGGGGTGGAGTCATGTTCATCAACTTCCATTGACATAAAGAGTCAATGAGGATCTTGTCGTCTTGGTGAAGACCACTATAGAAGTTCTCAATCCAAAATTGGTCCTCGAATCCATGGTGTGGGCATTGGAGCAAGTAGTCGGAGTACCTTTCCCAAGCATCCCTCAATGTCTCATCCTCCTCTTTCTCAAAGTGTGTGATCTTCTTGCGCCACTCCGAAGTCTTTGATGGTGGGCAATACCGAGTCATAAACTAGTTGAGCATATCATCCCACAAAGTGATCCAGAGAGCCGGCCTATTGTTGAGTCACCAAGACGCATTCCCCGCAGGAGAGTAGGGGAATAGCCACAAATTCAAAGCATCCTTGGGGACACCATTATTCTTCAAACTCCCCGCAAGTTCTATGAACTCCTGAACATTCTCCCTCGGAGACTCGTTGCTAAGACCATGGAATAGGGCATTATTTTGAATCATAGTGACAAGGGTGGGCTTGATCTCAAAATTGTTGGCTGCCACAGGAGGATGTCGAATGGCGGGTTGAATATCCGCCGCCCTTGGAGCCATATAGTATCCCATGGTCCTTGGTTGCTCCTCCGCGGCCGCTCCTCCTTGAGCGGGTTGATTAGCTGTCATTTTGGATACACTTCCTTCCTCTTAAGAATCAAACTCTTCCTCTTCTATCCTCCTTCTTGCCTCCGCTAGTTTCCTAATATGGGCGAACTGTCAGAGAATGCGGTTGAGATTCTCGTCTAGTGGCGCCAAAGTTGTCGGATTGCTCAGGGTCCTACACCTCCCTCCACGCACTCAAAAGAACCACAACACGTCTAGCACAAGCAAGACTCACAAACTCAAAAACGAAAAGTAAAAGCTAGATTAACACCAAACAATCTTTTTAAAATAATGAACCATTTGTTCCCCGGAAACGGCGCCAAAAACTTGACTCGTCCCAAGTACCACAATAGAAATCCCAATTAAGGACCAAGTATAAACCTCAATTGGGTGCAGTATAGGGCAAGTATGTTTAAATATTGACCGGGCCGGTTCATGTACCCCTAATTAGTTTGTTTGTAACATTATCTAGTGGTTGATTTTTGGTGAAAACAACGATCTATAGCTAAAATGTTTGCAAAGGTAAATGGATTTGACACTAATTGAGAAGGCTTCACCTGGGTGTTGCTCCCCCTAGCTTGCAATTGTGACTTGTTGGACCGAATGGTCGTGTGTGGTAAGGCGGTTGTAAACCATAGGGAAGTGCAACTAGTAGCCAAGCGCCACTCTCTCGGTCTCTAGGTCGAGGGAATGGAATTCGAATTAAGTCACCAACGTGACTCTCTTGACCTATTGACTAACGGTTGCCAAGACTTCACCCTCGAATCGGAGTTCGGACAGCCACCCACAACCAACCCTAGGTGCTAATACGAAATAAGAGGTTTGCCCTGCATTAACCTAGATAGGAGACAATGAATCGCCTAAGAAAACTGACACGCCAAAACACAACACCAATCTGCGACCAAGTGTAATCGCAGACCGGGAATGCAGTAACAGGCAAGTTATATTATCAACCCGGGCTCTAGATCTACTGCTTACTCAGTGATTCTCTGTTATCTAGCCAACTAGAGTAAGTGATT